TAAATTTCTTAAATGCTGAAGTAAAGTATTGCAAACTAGAGCCCCTTGAAAGGCAAAACTTCTCCCTCCAAATTCTAATTTGGCTTTGGGGAGTTTTAGTGAACCAAATTGTTTCTAGTGTTAATGTTGTGTTCAATTTTGTAAAGTATCCTTTAAAAGGGGTACAGACGTTATCTTAAAGACAATCAAACACAAGCTGGCAGGACTGTCTCTTTATTAAACTCTCCACTGTCGCTGACTTTCTGACTTCGACGTTTAATGCTTTCAATTCGACTTTACGGGAACGTGACCAATAGATACCCAAAGTTCCACAATACGTAAGAACAGGTTCAATCATTGCTTTGTAGATTTTCTCAGCACTCAGTTCAAGGAATGCCAGTTTGATTTTCATTCTCTATTTTTTATTGCAGGTGTGAAGGATGTGAGTCAGTCCTTCGTAGCATAGAAAAACAGATACAAAGAGCAAATTCACACAAAGAAAAAAAGCAGAAACAGAAGAGTCAAGTCGAAGTAGAGGTAACTGCTGTGTCCTTTTAGGTTGTTTTGTGCATCCTGGGTACTAGGCTTTTATGTGCGGTTCCTGGTCTCGGTCAAGTCTTTTATAGTGCCCCGCGCGAAAAGCGACAAGTTTTTTCTAGATCTGTCACCCTCCTACTACATTAAAGAAAACCGTCGCACGCGACAAGAAACCTCTGGTATGCATGGTAAAAAGAAATTCTGAATAATAAGGCTTTTCTTAGCCACAATTGAAAGCAGCAACTGAAAGCAGCAACTCTTGGTACAGAGAAACACAAAGATAAATAAAGAACGTAATGGCGTCGTTATGTTGCCATGGCGACTCCGATTGCAATAAAACCCAGATCATAAGAAATTTCCATCTTTATATAATGTAGTCGTGGTAGTCTTTTCCCCATAACTTTTCTCATGGCGACGTAGTTAAATGCTCTTCCACTCTAATTGTGTCATTGCATTTTCCATTTTCCTACTGCAATTGAAAACCATAACATAACAATACTGGCTTATTAAATCGTCAGAACCGCGCAACAAATTCCAAACAAGGTCACTTTGGCCAGTTAAAAGTTATATAAACAGTTAGGTCAAGCTACGGTGGTTGGGATTCGTTGTTAGCTTTCTGTGCTGTGATAGGTTAATGGCGCTGCAATCTCTAGGCTCGATTTGCGGTCTCGTTCCTTGAGCGCGCGCTCATTTCCCGAACAACTGGTACTTGAACTTATGCAATCTCTTCAATGATTAATCCTTGTTTTTTTCTTTGCTAAAGGTTGAAAATTTGAAAAAGGTGATCAAGGCATCTTCTCAGTCTGATTTGGACAGCGGAGCCGTGTCAGGAATGCCGGCTGCTTATCACAGTCAACAATATCAACAGAAAGCTCCAACTACAACTAAAACCAAAGGGTCAGTTTAATTACTCTGCTAACTGGGATATAAGAGCGCATTGGTGGGTTCTCTCCTTTCACTTATGGCCTCTTCATATAAGCGTGTCCTTGTTTGAAGGTGGTTACAATCTTTCCTTTTTTTAAGAATGTTAAGGATGTTTTAAGAGAAAGAGTGAATAGACCTTTCCCGTATTTCTCTCCAGTTAGCAAGCATGAAGAAATGAGGTCGAGGCTCGGGTGGACAATTTCATACAAATCACTGTATTTTGTCCACCCGAGCCTCGACTTGATGCCTTTGTTTACAGGAATGCGGGAAAGGTTTATAGATGGCGTGAGACACAGTCACTTTTCTGGTGGTCCTGGAAAATCTGGAAAATCTGGCCAAAAAGAAGATAGAACACGGGTTTTCTTGTCGTTCTAGGGGAAAATTTCCGGGAGCAACGGAACATCTGACAGAATGTTTCAAACAGAAATTCGTTTACCATTTGCTAAAACCCATATTTGATACTAATTTCAGGCTTCCCCAGCCGTTTTTTGGTAAAAGGATCTGAGATATGCAAATGGTATTGACGATTCTGGGATGAAGTTTAACAGTCCTGATTTTTTCTTACCATTTGCTCAATCTGTGAACCGACCGCTTTGCCCATGTAAATGGTGAAAAACCCTCGTTTCTCGTTTCTCTTGTTAATGAGATAACGCTAACCAGCCCAGCTTTTAAGAAGAGCCTTTCAGGGATCCGCTGCCCAAAGGTGATGTTATACGGGACGATTTTTAGGACAACAGAGGGCTGCAATGTTGGAACAATGTTGTAACCATTCGAAACAATGTCGCAACAATGTTACAATGCTGTGTTGCGCTAAAAGTCGTTGTTGCGAATCGTCTCGTGTAACATCACCTTAAACGTACAGTATCTTCAAACTTTAGGGTTTTGCTTCCATCGTGAGGATTTTACGTAATAAGCCCCTTAAAAGTTATCCCTGACCTGACAAATATTTTCCTTTCAGTTTTGATGGAAAGGAAAAATGGCATTTTTTCCTGGTTGAGGAAAACTTTGCCCATGAACACTTGTGTTTTTTCTTTGCAGATTGCGCGGAAGCGGTAAAGTTTTTCAAGTCCGTAGATGACTGAAGCTCAAAAGGAATGGTTTTCCTTTTTATGTTTGTTGACGTTTTGTATTTCTTCATAATTGAAGCTTATAAGCAGACTTCTGTCATATTGTAGGGGAGAATACTTTCGACTTCTGCTGCAACCGAATGGACTGAGTAGGGTGAACAATCACGTGACTCGACGAACACTTTCGAAATGATGATAAGCGATCACGTGGCAATATGAACGTTTTATTTTAACTCTAGCCTACCGTTCAAATGAAATTTTGTACATGGTAATCGACCAATCAAAAGTTGAATTGAAGCGTGCGGTCGGTGTTAAAAACTTGGGAAACGCACGTTAATTAGCCAGTCGCGTTAGTCACGATTATTTTGCGTTTGCCTTTGACTGGCTAAGGGCCTGTTTAATGGAGGAAGGTAGGTGAGGTTAATTAGCCAACCCGCCTGTCCATCGCGTTATTTTATTTTTGCCTTATGTTTACATAATAAAAACGTGGTTGCACGAAATTAGGTTTACCCCACCTAAGGGTTAATACACGACCAACCCCACCTCAGGCTGTAATTCAACGTTTTACAAGGGACAATACACGAGCAACAAGACCTCTTTCTGTGATTCACCATTTTCATAAAGACCATAATACGTCTTGTTTACCCCCCAAAATTTTGTTTCAGTTTCTCCTGGGTATTTCAGTCGTCCTAAGAGAAATCAAAGACAATGGTTATGCAAAATTTTAAGGGTTAAACAAGGTGCATTATGGGCGACGTGAAAATAGTGAATAGCCCACGATCGATATATTAAAACTCTAAAATGACTCCGACGCTTTCTCGTCGTTTTTCTATATTTGGTTTGGTTTTCTTTGTGCTCAATTCTCTTCTGGGAATTGCGAGACAAGGGAGTCGTAAAAAAATGACAGTTTTGATCCTAAAGCCTCGGAGTCTTGTGAGAATTTTAATATATCGAACGTGGGCTGTTCGTTAAAAAGCTCATTAAAGCAGCAGGAAAAAGGCAGCTGTGACGGTTAAACAGGTTTCGCCAGTTTTAATATGTCGAGTTGCAGCTGCTGTTAGCGACCATTTTGTTACGACTAACGGCGGCTTAACGGGCATATTTCAGCTAAAGGTTAGTTCCGTCCTGTGTGTTCATATTTTTGGAGAAGTATATTAAAATAATTGTGATAGCTCTGGATTTTTTCCCCAACAGCACGCTCTCTCATTGGCTCCTTGGAGACCACAAGACTTCTAACAAATATTATTGAGATTGTTAAAAAACTAACTTTAGTGTTTCCCCTTGACTGTTTCCTAACAAATAAAACCTATTCCATTTACTAAAACCAGGCCTTCTCAACCTTATGGGCCTTTGCTGCTATTCATCCACGAATTCTCCATTTGCACATCTCCCATAACACACCTTGTTGACCATGTTTTTTTCGAGTGGGGGAGGGGGAAGGGGGAAGGTGCTTCGTTGGAAATGAGGCGATAAACATTTTAACTGATGATTCAAAGGCTGATTTTTGCCAACTGAGGGTTTAAAACAAAGTCTTGACGATCTCTTTTCCTAGTACTTGTGCACTGCTTTTTCTTGTTAACCGTTGAAGCCATAATTTACATTTGTGTTCATCGCTAAGCTGCCTTGGAAATATCACTACGCTAAGTCAATCAAAGTTTAGGCGGTATGCTCGCACCATAACGGATAGCTTTTAGTGCCGACACGACGAAAGTCATCCGTTATAGTATAAACAGCAACTATCAAACGTCGTGTCATCCTCGGAGACCCAGGGGCAGCTAGTCGGGTGCCCCTGGGTCTCCGAGGATGACGTCGTGTCGGAGCGATTAGCCGAGAGGGTTTTGTAAACTAAGCCCTAGTCCTCACTCCTAAATATTTACTTCCGTGTAGTGCATTCCAGTCCTTCTTCCTGCTTATACTTCCGCTACGGTCCGAATGACTGTTCACACCGCACTGAAGTGTGGCACCGAAGCTTTGCTCCGTTACAGAAATCGCGCCGAAATCACCGTTCTTATGTGTGGTCAAGAGCCCTATCCGGTATCATTTTCGTGCCGGCGCAAAAGCTGTGCGGTCAAGTATGAACGTAGCCTTCGTTTTGAAGCTTTCATTCATCTTAGCCATGTTTACTATCTACTTTGATCTAAAATAAAGTTATTGGTGGTGATCCTAGGCATTCTGACCCAGAGTTCTTTTTTATAGATTCCCTTTCTTTCTTCTTTCTTAATGTTTACTCTTCTTAGTTAGTTCAACAAAGAGAGACAATCTATGTTACACCTTTTATTTAGTTCAACGAGCTTTATAAATAACATTGAGATTTACAAGAAAAGGGCAAGATGACCTTTTTGTAGTATCATTTCTGTTTGTAAATAAAAGTTAATGTTTCATGGCGTGTATGTTGAACTGTGGTCGGCTACATTTTTTGGGCAGTACGTAAGTTCCCAATGCCCCTTCCCGTGATAAATTTTCTGCTGTGTCTGTTAGCAGTCTGGGAGAAACCCAATTCAGCCAACCTGAATAAGTTCGCAGCATGTGGCGTTTGAGCAATCGAAGTTATATTACAACACTGTGCAGTATTACTCCTTGTTGTGCTGTTTTGTAGTATCAGTTCAATTTGGAAATAATTATAATCCCCCATGGCGTGATGGCGTGTAGGTAGAAATTTGGCCAGCTGGGCTATTAAGATCTCGAAGGAGGTGGAGGGGGGCGGGGGTGCTTTTTCTGCGGAGAGGCTCTGCCCGAGGTCCAATCCCTTACCCTTTCATATACTCTTTTTGACTGTAAAGGTACCCCCTTTTGTATACCTTTTATTGACAAATGATACACCTTTCACATGCCTATTAATTTTGAGAAGTTTGTATCCCTTGTAACTGCTGCAAATGTACTATTTTTTTGAATATGAATAAATCACTAAACCAGAACGTTTCTCGAATTTTCACAGCCATAAAGTGCATCTGTTTGTCCTTTTGGGCCTGTTAACAGACCGGAAAGACAATTTTCCCTATACCCTTTCATAGACTTCAACCAGGGAAATCCCTACCCTTTTATGTACCTGATACCTTAGAAAGGTACCCTAGCTTTTTCAGGCGGAGCCTACACCACCCCCCCCCTTCCCTTCCACGTATAGGTGATTATAGGGAGTACACCACCCAGGATTAAGACCTACAAAGTCTAAACAAACTCTCGGATTTTCTTGCCATGTCTTGTTCAGTTTCACCTTGTTTGTAAATGCCGCACTTTGATCAAAGTTCCGTGTCGTCGAGCACATCAACCTTAAAACTCAAACCGTTTATTGTGTACTCCTTGGATGTATGAGGTTGTTGATGCAGCAATATTTCCATCAATATATCCTCAACCCATAGCTCGTCGCAAAACTCAACTTTGAAAACCGGGATTTCTTGTAACTTTTTAGGCCCCTTGTCATCTGCTTCCTCGTCGCTTCCATTATGGGGTGCAGGATCTGTGGAAATTGCTTTGCTCCCAGGCTCAAAGTTCTCTTGTAAACTTCTCAATATTTGCTCCAACTCGTGGAATGAATCTTGACTGTGCAGCATTAGCTTGCAAATTAAGTTGACTCAACAAAGAGAGAAAATGTTTTCGGAGAAGTCTTGTTGTTGTAGAAGCCCTTGATTTCTTTGAACAAGCTACTCTGGCGTTCCCTCAAGCTGCAAGAGCAACTTGTACAACTCAATAGTTTACATAGATAGCTCTTATCGAAGGAACAACAAATGAAATTAAAATTAGCATGAAACTAAAATTGAAGACATGGTAACGTCCTTTGCAGTCAAAGAGGTGTAATCTCAAACAAAACAAATTTAGATGGAACAAATCCTTCTTTTGACAAACTTTGCATATCAATAACCGGCGGATTAGTACCTGTGTAATTACACCATTATTTTAAGTACAACACCCTTTTATATTGAGCAATAGGCCATTTTCGAGTAAACTTCAGCTTTTTGTCCCAAAAAAACTTTCTTATGAATTGTTCTTCACCACGGGCCGCGGTTTAAGAGAAAAAAAGCGTTTGGGCTAGTGGCAGTATTCCTCTCCAAAAAAATATCGTGAGAAAGTCGATCCTTCGACTTACCTGCTCTGCAACAGATGATTGGTTGGTGAATGCGACCGACTTTATCCAAGATAAGAAGACACGTGATTGATGTTTCCATTATTCACTTGGGTGTTGTAATGGACCTTTTTACCGATACGGCGGCCATATTGAAATTAATTCGATTTAAGGAGTATTATAGGATGCCCAGGGGGCATGAGCACATTTCGTTTGTATTTTCGAGCGCTTTTCGGGACATTTTTTCTTAAAGTTTTCTTATAATAAGAATGTTATGGGAAAAAAGATCCTTGTGCCGTGTTTGGATGTAATAATGATAGCCTTTAACTAGTTTAGTATTAGAAATATGGTCTTTCACTGTATATTTCTCGGGAAAAAGGCGATCATTATTACATCAAAACACAGCACAAGGATCTTTTAATTTTTTCCCATTGCAATCTTATTCTAAGAAAACTTTGAGAAAAAATGTCCCGAAAAGCGCTCGAAAATACAAACGAAATGTGCTCATGCCTCCTGGACATCCTATAATACTCCTTAAATTGAATTAATTCAATATGGCCGCAGTATCGGTAAAAAAGGTCTATCAGTTGGTCATGTTATGAGTGACTTTGCGACAGATCACCTGGCTATTTCAGTAACGTGTTAAGTCATTGATGACGTTACCATGACTTCATAACATTACAGATCCATTTTATTACCGAGTTTAAGTTACCGAGTTTACATTTAAGGCCAAATGTTATTATACATTTAGGACTATGATTACGGTTACGTTGAAATGTTATTACATTTAGAACTTCACTACATTTAGGGCCAGTTGTTACATTAAGTAAGGTCCTGTACAAAGCTCGGAAATTGAAAAGACACAATACATTAACATTTCTAAAAGGCTATTTAGATATCATAGATAAAAGGATAGTTAATTACTTATAACAACCTCCAAGGAAATTAAGGAAGAACATTCTATAGTTTAAAAGAAATCTTTAGCTTTCTTATTAGGCCATCCCAATAAAATGTTTCGTTTCCCATCGCCCGACCGACCCATTGTTTTCGAAAAGTAAAAAAAACAAAAAACAAAACAAAAAACAAAAATTCCAGATTCACTAGTCAAAGAAGCAAGTACTTTAATTTACAACCACACGATCTTGTTTTATTAACAACAACTGGTATGATGTGATGTCCTTGTCTTTAATTAACATCGATACTACGTTTTTAAAGACTGTTGAGACATTTGATAATAAAAAAGACCACGTTTTCGAGTTGACTTTGCAGCCAAGCTTTCTTACTTAGCAGCCCGGCGTCATCTGGAACCCAGACCCCTTCAAGTGTTCATTCTTTTTGTTGTTGTTGTTGTTTTTTGCCCGACCGACCGACCCACCAACACAAGAGACAGGGCGATGGGAAACGAAACATTTTATTGTGATGGCCTTATAACGGTCAAAGTAGTTTCTATTCCAGTCTCATAAAGAGATATGTGGGTATCATAATTTCTGCAACGTCAATAGCTCCCGTTCGATATATCAAAATTCTAACATGACTCCGAGGCTTTTTGGGGCAAAATTGCAAATCCTCTCCAATGTCTCGCAATTCCCGTTGATTTATTGAGTTCTTGTTTAAGCTCCGTTTAAACCTTTGCAACATGTTCTGTTCATCACACAACATTGTTGAATCCAACCCGTTGCACTGGTTTGGCCAAGGTTTGGCCACTATATATGTTAAATGACTGTGTTGAACGAAGTTTAATTTCCATCAAACATCGTCTACAACAGTTTTCATATTTCTTCATTTAGGCCAGTTCACACGTATCCGGATATTTTTTGAATCCGCAACTTTTTCTTTCCGGATTCGGCTTCCATCCACACGTATCAGGTGTATCCGGCATACGAATCCGCAACTTTTTGACTCCACTCTCCAGAGAGGAAATTTTTGAATACGCTATGAATCCAGAATCGCGTGGACGCTAAACCCAGAAAATGTACAGTGAATATTCAAGACGGTGCCTACCGTAATGTTATCGCTTTTCTTGGAATTCAGTTTCAAGTCTTATAACCTACACCGGCCTCAATTATGCCACACGGCGGCTTGACATTTTGAACCTTCTTTCCTTATCGGACGGACGAATGTCACGAATTGGACGCTGTAAACAAGTTAAACGAGCGATCTAATGCTTTGTGGGACAATTTTGTCGGTGAAACATTTATTGAAGAAGATTGGCGATAAAATTTTCGCATGAGCCGGACATCGCTTTATAAATTAGCTGCCGAATTGAGAGTGAATCACGTGTGGACGGGCAAATTCGATTTGAATACGGATACGTGTGGACGTGGAAACCTTTGAATCCTCAAAGAAAAATTTGCGAATTGAAAAATATCCGGATACATTTGGACGGGGCCTTAGCCACCGTGTGGACGGGCCTATATCTAAGCTTTTCATGGGTCTCCCCATCCCCTTCATGGGTATTAGGTGTCCCCAATTTACTGCCAATAGGCACTAGAACGATTAGACACTTTAATAAAGATTATGTATGAATGTATCCGTATCCAAAGGAATGACTTGTTATTCGCATTCATTATTGTTGGTTTGCAGCCATGTAAAAGGTGACTTTTTAGCTGGCAAAAAATACCACCTGAAATTGGAAGTTAGCTTATTTGAGAGGATTTTAAGTTATTAATTGTTATAAAAGCGGTTGTTGAAAGTTACTCAAGCTCTCGACGTCGTCTCACGCTTACATAGTGTCTAGCCCTCTGGTGTTTACTATCAGGCTCCAGTCAAAGACGAGAAAAAGTTTTCTGTTGGCTAAATGTTAAATAATTCTTTTTCACTGAAATTTTTGGCGTATTTTTCAATAATAATTACCAATTTTTGTATTTTGAATAGACGCAAAATCGCTATATTTTTGTTTATATAGCGATTTTGTCAACGATGCATGCCGGTAAAACAGCCGGCCCCTACTATAGGACGGTGTAAACATATAGTGCAAATTACACGGAAATAAAGTAAAAAGACACCGGTACAGGACTGTACGAAACCAAGGGAGTAACAGTTAGCCCTCGGTAAGCCAAAAGAAATTCCGTTTCCTTTGGTTCATGGAATAACAGCCTACATTATGGCATGCAAACGCTACGGAAAGGAATGAAACAGCCCAAAGTGAAGTACAAATGCAAAAAGTCAAATTCAGGAAAAAGAAGCGGCAAACAAATGAAAAAAAATCAAAACTAACAAACAAATTAAACACAGAAGAAACATGCTGACGCTTAATAAACCTCATGCTTTTCCAAAGAAGATGTATTTGTCTGCGGGCTATCATTTAGGCTGCGTAGCAGACTTAATTTATCCCCGGTTAGTAATAAATGTCTGCAAAACAGTGCCGATATCCTTGTTCTGGGCAAAAAACGAACTCAGTGCATCAACGCTTGTGCTTTTTGAATTCCCTTTCAACTCCATTGGCAAATAACAATGGCTTTTCTTATATGACATGCCAGTCATGGCTCGTATAAGCTTTTATAGATTGGGTTCGCAAAGGTAGCATACTATGTCACTCGCAGTGCTTGCATATATTCCTAAAATTATGCCAATAACTAAGCTAGTTTATGTATAAGTCTGCTCCCGTTAAATTATGGCGTCTATTTTTTTTTTGGTTTCAAATTTCGTAAAAGCACTTCAACAACAACAAAACAAATAAGTGGCAAATACATTTAACCTAGTGGTATGTAGAGACATTAAGAGTGCATACATTACGAAAACTCAAACAATTAAGAACCAGGATGGGGACACCATCTTGGGTAACTGAGCTAATTATGTCCGTGCGTTGAGTTCTGTGTAAAGTATCCTGGATTGCTTCCTGTGGGGACTAAGTTCTCATGAATGTCGCAATAAAGAGACAAAAAAATTATTTGGTTGCGTAAGTTTGACTGTCAGTAACACTGATTTCGCGCGAAAAAAAAATGGTTGGATGATCAATAAATGCCAATTTTTGTGCTGCAAAACTAGCGAAAAGTGTGAATAATGCTAGCAGTGCCTTTCCTTCGGAATATGGGTGAAAATTATGTTCGTGATGACGAATTATACCAAATATTATGCTAGCACAATCTATCAAAACCTAGGTGCGTAGTGAAATCCTGGTACACAGGTGGGGGCCCGGAACACGGATTTATTTCGGCACTTTTATAGTTTCGTCTGTGGCGCTGGCTAGCTCTCAATATGGTAGCAATTATAGAGCTTGACTTAAGATTCAGGCCTTAAAAAACTATCAACATGCTATAGATTTTCACAAATGTATTTCCTTTTCTGAGAGCATCGTCGATCGTGCCACTTCCCATAATGGTCTGGATCGGATTTTCTTATTTGTATTGCTACACAATTCTGCTGATTTTTGTTATTGTCGGGCTGGTTATCTCCCCAGTTTTTGTATCCATCCGAATCCAATTTAGTTCCGTCCGTCCACATCCAGTCATTTTCATTGGCAGAGTCTGAAAGTCCAATCCAGTAACTACCGTTATTTCTGGTCGGCAAAAGCTTCGTTTTTATGAAATCATTTTCTTCAAGAGATTCAACCTTTACCAATCCGGCCTGGCATTTTTCACATTCCTCCTTTGCCTTTCCCCAACTCAATCTTGATGACGTAACCAATTTATAACATGACGTCCCGTTGCAAATCCAATCTTGTTGACAAGCTGAATTAAGACACAATAGAAAAACGAAAACCAAAGACATAAAATTAGTTGAAACTAGTAATAACCAAAGGTTGCGGAGTTCGGTCGACAACGATCGGAGGTCAAAACGCTTTGCTCCAACGCCGTGCATTGCGTATAGGAATCACGTGACAGATGCTCAAAACACGTGTGATTCAATTACCTATGACAGAAGTCCAAACTGCGTTTTGTGGAGTCAAAACGAAGATGGCTCTATACGCGCGCGTCAGTGATACGTGTGGTGCATACGTAATAGCAACCTGGAGATTAGGATTGCGGGCTATTCTTGTCCCTCCTAATAGCCGATGTTACTAAAACAAAGAACTGGGAACGGGTAATGAGCAGGGGCAACGGAAAAATGAAAATAAGAACGAGAAAGAGAATGGGTAATGAATTTACTGATAGGGCTAGGGTTCAACTTAAGTTTTGTTCCCATTCTTCATTTTCCCTTTCCCTTTGGTCGATCCTCATTTCCCGTTCCTCGTTTTATTATCATTCTGAAAACTGATTTGATGAATGTTACGATCACGGGGAACAACGAATAGTTAATTAAGGCTCGGTTCAGACGCCGCTCCTCTCATGTGCCGAACCCAACTGATGAATTAACCGCAGAAGGGCCGCGTCTGAATCAATTAGTACAGCAGTTTTAATTTAGTGTGGCAAAAACGCCAAACTCAACACAGTCTGTCGCATTATACGACACTGGAGCGGCAGGTGATTCATACGGCACTCCTTTCAAGTGCCGAACCTAATGCAAACATTATACATACTTTAAATTTATATTCTTGCTTTCCAACAACTCCGCTCGTTTTAACGTAGTTGCCAAGCGCAGAACATTAAATGGAGGAAAATGACGGGTAAAGAAGGACAATCTTGCTCATCTTGCTTTAAGAATACAAAATGTACTTATTTACGGTGCCAGGAATACTTCTGTATTCCTTGTTCTGTCAAGGGCTGGGTAGCGCGCACTTCAGTCGCATATTCTGAGCCATGTTTCCGAAAAGTTACAGACATTGAAAGAGCACGAAAATGTCGAATGTGATGATTCAAATAAATCGCTATCTGGCTAAAATTATCAGTTATTGGGCAAAAATATAGCATGGGACCCTGGCCTTGCTCTCATGAAATCAAGGTTAGGATCAACACTCGGTACCCCGTCTGAATCAGTTGCAGCGCCAATGTCGCTCCAAAGTAGGACCAAATAGAGATAAGAAGTCGCTACTCACGTTGCCATGGTAGCAAAATCTTTGGATGACAACAAACCGAAAATTCACTTAAAAATAGAATTCGCTTTGTTTCAAAAAAGAAAACGAAAATTTTTGTATTGTGTTCACTTAGTCCATGAAGCGGGTTCGTGAAATTAGGAAGTTTCATATCGTAGTCATGTAACGATGGCTAAAAAGCTTGATGTACGTGCAAAGTTGTTGTTTTGCTAACATAAACCTACGGATTTTTTGCCGTTCTTGTTGCCGTCGCCGTAGTCGTTACTTAGGCTTCCCATTGCTGTGATCCAAACATTTTGCTACCATGGTAACATGACGTTACACTTTCAAGAACGGGTCCAATACAAGTTGAAGGAACGACGCAGACAGTTACGCACCTTGTTGAAAAGACTGGTTTGTTGAAGTTCGTGAAGTTGTGGAAACTGCTGTTGGTATCACTGCGGGTTCTGATGACGATAAATCTGTTAATTAAGGAGCACATTAAGAATACTGACACAAGAAATTGTTTCCAGTTGTTTAAGTATTATATTTCTTATTTACTCATTGTTCTTCCCTTGCCCAGTTTATGTGTGCTTGTCAGAATTGATATCAGTAAATAATTAAGTTGTTGGTTTTGTAAAAAGAGAATCAGATTACTTCAGACGATATTTTTGCGTTAATGGCTTATTATGAGGTCATGATGGCATTTTTTGGCGAGCTTATGGAACAAGACGAAGTCAAGGTAAAAAATAATCTTCGAGGCCAGTATATTAAAAGGACGTCCAGACTAAACCAAACCCATGTATGGAATTCAGAAAAAAAAATGAACGTGTGTTAACGTGAAGAGCCTTTAATCCTGATAATAACATGTAGATTTAGCCAGGGCTAAATGCGAAGCTCTCGATAATATCTATAGTTTACTCAAACAAAATATAAAGTCGTGCGATGCTAAGCGGCGAAGCGAGAACGGTGAAAAACGGCAATAGGTCTAATTAGCAAAAAGGCAACTTTGCACGTGCAGCACACTTTTTTTGTACATTTCCTTGTCGTTGTTTTGCACGACCACAACGTGGAACTTCCAGAAATGTCTTAGTTACACGTTTTATGGAGGAACTGTCGTACGTTTTCTTGTTCACTTTATTTTCACTGCCGCTCATTTTCACCTTGCATTGGTGGCCGCTAGAATTTCTCTTTTTGTTACCGCCGCTACAAAATTTCATGTTGTTCTTCCAACAAAAAAATGTCTCCTTTGTTTTTTATCTCTCGCTCTAGATCTCTTGCGTAATCTCTCAGAGATTCCCTTTGTAAATTTAACATTACTTGCGTGATGATTATTTGCTTGTTCAATGAACTGCGATATTTGTTCTCTTCTGAAAGAGAAAGTCTGGTCGTTCGTATCAGGACGCCTGTTTGTATACCTTTTTCAACAGACTGGCTTTATAGCTAAAAACGCTTAACTCTGTGAGCCCTTTCGAATTCAAGTGACTGTTTGCAGAAGGAATTCGTATACGTTTAGAAAATATATAGTATAGAATAACAACAATAAGAAGATTCAAAGAAAAATATGAAATAAGATATTCATTAAATCAAAATGTATTCCCCAAATACAAACATCTGTTGCTCTTTGATAATTGTCTTAAAAGGTTAAATTATATCTCACAGAAATTTTGAAGGTTGCGCTCCCTTCGTCGTTATCTTTCATCTTCTAATTCAAATTGGTTCCGATTATTTCTTAGGTCCTTTTATCGAATCCAATTTTAATCAATCGAATATCCTAAAACTCCCTCAAGATTAGCCAAAAAGCCTTTACAATTATATGCACATGCATAGTGCACATAGTTGCACATTCCAAGCCTGCCAAATGGTTACACATTCCAAAGTTAACAAATTTGTGCTAACGCTTTGGTTCCCCTTTCACGAAAGTAGTAAACTAGTGTACAGCTTATAGAACTATTATGGCTGTTACGTCATAAGTTGGGATTATGTGAAGTACTTAGACAAATTTTCAATTCTCTCACAAAGTGTCTACGTGCTTCGCACAAGAAACAAAAAAACATTGAGATAGTAGGAAACAAGTCGAAGAAAAGGCGCAGAAAATTACCTACCCTGTTGAGGTGGTTGAGTTGTTGACGCTGGATAAGCTGTGGAAACTGCTGTTGGTATCACTGTGGCTTCAGATTTCGATGCATCTGTTAAGGAGCACGATAAGAATACTGACACAATATTGATTCCAGTTGCTTGAGTATTATATTTCTTATTTCCTCATTGTTTTTCCCTTGCTAGTTTGTAAGTGACTTAGTCAGAAGGGCTATCTGTAAACAAGTCGATGGTTAAAAAAATAAATAAATAAATAAATGAATAAATAAGAATCAGATGGTAGGAGGCGAATATGCGTTAATGGTCAAGTCGGTCAAATATGAGGTGTCATGTTTGCTGAATGTTGATAATCAAAAGATTTTCTATTTCTTTGCGAGTTTAATTTATAGACCAAGACGAACATGGTCAAGATGAAAAGAAAAAGTAAGGGAAGAAAAGAAAACAAGGCCAACTATCTTTAGCCGCAATCTTGAACTCATGCTTTGTAAATAGAGGATTTACTATATATAGCCCAAATGATGAGAACCTGTGTTTGCGGGACCAACGCGGGAAATCCCGAGGGGCAGTTTCTTTCTCGCTCGGGTGGTCCATCAGAACATAGTATTTGCTTCATCTTGTCCGCTCGCCAATTTAGCCGTATAATAAGGTATAATAAGCAAAACATTACAGCTCTGAACCGGCATCAGTGTATTCAATTTTCTCTACTGATGAGCTAATCCTGACAGTGAGGAAAATACCTACCCGCCGGTTGAGCAGCTGATGAAGATGCTGTTGATGTATCTAGAGCCTTTGATGCTGATGAAACTGTTTGTGGGTATTCTGAAACTGCTGACAGATTAATTTGCTTTTTGAAATTTAGTCAGTTTATACACTAGATTGTCTTTAATCGTTTATCCCTCTTCAAACCCAGGGAAGCTTTTGAGCCCCCCTATCCCCCCAGTCCCCCCCGCTGAGAAGTTGAATAACTCCAGAACTGTTTAAGCTAGGAGGTTAGAGCTTTCCACAAGTTTTTTTGCCAACTTCTCGTATTTCGAGCAACTTTTTTTTCGTTTCGAGCATTTTCTTTTTGTATTTGTTTTTTTGTTTTGAGATATCGAAGCGGCATATTTCACAGTGATTTAGTAGACAATTTATGAATTTCCTGTAAAATATCCTAGGAGCCAAATCTTCCCCCCTGGGGCAGATCATAGGTGCAAGATAAAAGTAGCAGGGCTGGTAGGCCATCGGTTTTTAGAGAAAATTCAAAATTGTGGACAAAGGTTCACACGCGACTGACTTGAGTGTCTCGGGTGAAGAAGATCGTTCAGCAATTTTATTGGCTCATTACATTTTTTTGGTTCTAATTGAGGACAAAGTTATAAGCAACGTCAATCGGTTACTGACAATTTGCAGATTTTAGCATCAGACCAAATACAAATGGTTTTTTCGAGCAACTTTTGAGCAACGTTTGCTACCAAAATCAACTTTTGATTGTTGTTTGAGCAACTTTTTAGCAACTTTTTCAGAAATTACGGGAAACTTATTCGGAAATCTCGAGTAATTTGTGGAAAGCCTTAATCTAGGAACACCAAACAAAGCGACTTTTCGTAAAATTTATCTGGGAACATTTTAAAATCGTCGTGACGTGTACGTCAATAATTATGTTACCATGCAATATAATTTTGACAGCCATGTTTTTTTTTTCAAAATTTTGCATTTTTTCTAGAAAAACAGGTAGTCTTTCTATTTTCTACTGATTTAATTAATATATTACACTTAGTTTAGCATTATTTTATCACAGTTGTTGTAATTGTTAATGAAATCCAGGCTTTTTGGTGCCTACTAAGTCTGAGAAAAAACACGAGGTCAATATGACCAAATGGCAGATACTGAATTAAATTTTCAACAGTGTTGTCAATTTGCCAATCAGGATGAAAGGAAATTCGAAAAGCAATTCTGGTAAATCGGTGAGTCCGTTGATGGCCCACAACAGGGTTATCGGCGCTGCTTTGCAGATGTTACTAGCCGAAGTTAAATTACATCTGAGAAGCAGGCTATACCATACGAGCTTTTCTAAATCCTTAAGTGGAAATTTTTGGAAAACCTGTTGAGTTTTTCGTTACCTTAAAATTTCTTTAAGTTGTTTAGGGCAAATTCAGCATTTTGTTGCAAATTTGCTCTTCAGGTCTTGAAACATTATACAACTTGGTTTTTGCTGCTCAGTAAGGGCGTAAATTTGGGATTTAGTGTACTCAACCATGTCCAATCAAAACCAAGTAAATTTCATCAATACATTTAGTACAAATGTATCTCATTTTAGTAAAATCCAACTAGTGGTCTATTATATATCAATGCTGCATTCTGATTGGTTGAGCTACTACTAGGCTAATAATATATGTTATAGCCCTCTAGTAGCAAAAAGCGCCGGATTTTTGGCGGCAAAAAAGGGATTAAAGTCTAGCTTTAACCAGCTAAAGTTGTTTTGTCTCAATAATTTTGACCAACTAGACATTTCTTTAACTAGACATTTCATTTTTTGACAACTTGACATTTCTTACTATTAATGTGACTGTGTGATACAGTTAAGCCTTAATGTGTTGCTTGTGATGGACTGTGTGGCTGCGAGATGTGGTTCGCAAGTCCAGCCCACAAAAATGACCCTTGCTCGCCAACGAGTCCTCAGTAGCTCAGAGATTAGAGCATCCGATCTAGAACACGGAGGGTCGTGAGTTCGAATCCCATCTGGGGCTCAGATAATTTCTCTGTCCTCTTATGGTTGATTCTTTACATCTCCCTTTATTTCCTTTACAATAGTTGGATTTTACTAAAACAATTATTCCTCTCGCCCTCATGACCTCTGAAACAATAGCCCGTTTGGAATTCGGTCTCATGGGCTATTGACTCAGAGCCCATTCTAGCCTCCCACGCCGGCATTTTTAGGGGAGCTCGACCCTCCCCACAAAAGCATGCTCAGCCGAAGACAACTTTCCTTTCTCATGCTTAGCCAATCACATTGAAATTTCCAAATTCTGGAAAATTGGCCTTGACCGCAAGGTAATCTGATAATTACTCGATCTGCATCTAACACTGGCAAAGCTTTGTGGACCTCTAATAAATGTTAGATTCAGTGTGGCAAAGTAAGATTTAGTCAAAATTTTAGAATACTCCATGCATTGCATAGCCTTAGCGAAGGAAAGAAAAAGGGAAAACGGTAACTCTAGGGTCACGTTAAAGTCGCGTTTGGCCCGTCAACACTTTATTGCACAACTGTTGATTGGTCACTTACCACGCAAATAAAACAACGGGAAAGGAATGTTGCTTTCGATTGAGCAGGCGTTTGTGGGGAGGGATGAAAAACGAGCCCCCCTAAAAACGCGTGCTTGGGAGGCTAAGCCCATTTAAGCTCGAGGAATAATTGTTAAATATGTCGAACGGTCGCTGAATATCAACAGGAAACAAAAAGGGTGTCAAAGGTCATCCAATCCGTTACAATGATTAAGTCTATAATCATAACGATCACAAAATTCTCAAATCTGATTGGCTATCAACTGCCCTCATTTCAACCTAAATAGGAAGTACGCGTCATGCCTAAGTAATTGGACGGTACGCGTCATCACGCGCGCGCTTAAATGGCTTTTTTTCTCTGCTAGAAAAAAATATCTTGAAATTTCTTGTGTTTTGATTTAAAAAAAAAAGAACGTTATATATCACAAATTTTGTTAAAGTTATGATCAATTGGTAACAGAACTTCGTATAGTCCAATTCGGTCCGTAACCATCCTCGTGATTAAACAAATCAGACTCCCGCCACGCGGTCGTCCGATTTTGTTAATCACTCGTTTGCTTACAGACCGAATTGGACTCCTTTCGGTCATGTTACCATTGCTAATTACAAAATAAAGAAACAACAGACAGACTTTTAATCCACAAACGAACAAAATTAAGAATTTTTTTTTAAAAAAGAGAGGGAAATTAGAGAAAAATGACGCAAAATAAGCCTCTAATAAAATTCATGCAATTATAACTAACTCACCTTCACATCCTGTATCAAGTCTGCATTCATTGATCTCTGCGAGGACAAATTAAGAGAAAAAAAATGCAAAAACTGATATAAAACTTTAACAATTTAAGACTATTTTAAATAAGATCGGTTGTTCTAAAGCCCAAACGATAGCATTTACATATGTAAGTAGGCAGGGGCATGAAATGTCAATCCTTTTTAATCGGGTGCGTTCCCAACTGGCTTCAAGAATTTGAAGTCAACAAGTTGGTAAAAAGGGATCCGCAGAGCACACTGTTCGACCAGCTGACAGTTGTCACGTCAGTGTTAGGGTAGAATTCAGGGAGGCACCTGCGCCTTATGGAAAAACTCCATATGCGAGGACTCGGCCATCTTCAGTCAGTATTGGACCACCTTAAAAACCCTACCTATAGGCTGGGGTAATGTAATAATTCGCATAAAGGGCGAATAATCGAAAATAACTATTCAAAAACTTGGCACATGGACCACGTTTAAGTAAAGAGACCGAACTGCCCGGATTGTTAGTCAAACAATGCGCTAACACATACTGACAAAAAAAAAAACAAATCAAAACAGAGTCAACCTAACAAGTCATACCTTCGTCGCAGTTTTCTCCTTTAAAACCATCACGGCAAACACATCGGTAGCGTTTAGCTGTGAAGCCCACCTGACAGATAAAGTTCTCTCCAGGGCATGGGTTACTGTGACAAATGTTCTGTTGGAAAGAAATTTATTTTAGCAGATACTCCATGTAAAATTATTAACTAGTTATTGAATAGTAATTAGTTCCCAGAAAGTTTGCAAATGCCCCTCGTTTTTTAGTTTAAAAGCTCTCTTTCCTATCAATTATTGTTTTACTAGATTACTTTTAATTAAGTGAAATTGTTTCTAAATTGAAACGTTTTTCTTCTATTGATTACCATCAGTCTTAGTTGTATCCAGCATAAACGAATTCCCGTTTCACGAATAACATTTAAGACTGACAAGCATAAATGATAATCAGCAAAAATATCTGATACCTCAGCTGAATAGTGAATGTGGCCTGTCGCTTCCTGCAAGCCAGTCTGTGATGGACTTTCATCTGTAAAGTTTTTTAACTCACAGGTGCGCTGTCCTTGGTCGCCAGCAGGACCGACATTAATAGACACACAGTTGGGCTCCAAAAAACACCTCACACGGCAGCTCCCTTCATTTGCCACCTTCTCTGTCCTTATCACGTGACCCGGAAGCATTTTACCCTCTATTGGCCCCTTGAATATTAAAACGCGGTTGTATTCTGTGGCAAGAACTGTAGAGAAAAATAGATAGAATTGGGCAAAGGCTTTTTAAAATAGTTTAATGGTGCAACATTATGCTTTTTTTGTAATTTATCATTAATATTTATTAAATGAAACAATTTAAAATTTAAAGCTTAAAACGAAGTATCGATCCGCTAAAAAATTATGTTCGAATTTACTACCAGTTTTCAACTTAACTGGGCTATTCAAAACTTATACATAAGTCATTTTTATGCATATGTTTTTCAGAAAACTCAAATCGGGACTCTACGTCTTTGCATTTCGACTCCTTTATTGTTTTTGTCGCGGTTGTTTTAATGATCAGCTTCGCCAGAGGTAGGTGCCCAAACAAAAGCCACAGCTTAGTTGTTCCAAAGACCTTTCCTAGGTGTGTTTTACGAAAGGAGCAGCTTTCCCGAACATATTCCTTACTTGGGTCGATTTTTTTTAATAGCACAACAATAGAACTATAACCTTGGTCTGGCCTTAAAAATTGGTACGAAATGGAAAAAAGAGTACAAGAAGTAACTAACAGAACAATAAGGAATGTTCCTTATCAGCTAAAGGTACTAGACAAATCAATTATGGGTAGTCAACATTTTGTTTTAAGACACAGGCTTTCAATTTCTAATTGTCAAAACTAAATTCTTATTGACATCAGACCGTATGGATCTCATGCTCTTGGTCAGAAATTTACAATGCACACGTCCAGGTATTTCTCCTCTTTTAAACCCCTTTCCTTTGTCAAGTTTGTCAGTCTTTTCATCCAAACCAATTACAGGTACTTACGTTCCTACTACATGGCCTACAATTCAAATACCGTAGAGCTACGCCACAGGGAACAAGTTTTCTCGCTGTAAGTTGCAGCTGATGCATCTAAAATGTTTTAAACAGTATGTGCTTTACACTGTTTAAAAAGTTGTTTGCCTTTTCAAAATTTAATTCATTTGTCTCTCGCCTCCTACATATAGGAAAAATAAAACTGTTTGTCTAGGCTTTAGAATTTTATTAACCGCCACGTAAGCAGAAAAGGTTCTAAAGTGACTTGGCCTCATGCATATTAAGCGGACGCACTATTTTCAGGAGATAGCAAATGAAATGCCAAACTTAAGTTCTCATCATTTCTTTCTTCAAAAAAAAAAGAGTCCTCTCAAACCAGTTCTAAGTTATTACACGATCATTAACTTCTTAAATGTGATGGTTCTTATTTTAAAACAACTTTTTTTTAGAATTTCGAATTTTTTTAAAAAAATTGTTCCTGTTCAGCTTTCAATTATAAAAATGAAGCACTAAACATGTGGGACTTACCAAAGTGCACCAATAAGCCAAGTCCAAGTGTTAGCATCTCGATGAAAATTTCCGTCCTCCTAGTAGAGGACATGATGTCAACTTAGCGTAGACTTTCAAGTTGTTGTCTGCTGACATCAAACTAGTCGTGTAAAGAAATAGGCTCATTAAAATTTCTCAATATGCGACAATACCCTACTTGAATTAATCAATAAATCATAAGAAGTTGGGAATGATTTCGAAATTGGTTCTTAACTCAACGCTAAAAAAGAGGCAATTTATTTATTGATTTTAAAAGCTGTTTTATCATTTCCCGCTTCCATATTTATACCAGATTATGAGGGAAAATAGCGAATAGCCATCGAATGATTTCTCGCGCTTTTTCATAGTCAGTCTTAAATTTAAATTTAATATAATTTTCATATATTCTCTCCTGAGGTACCTGTTTCACACTTATCACGGAGTCAAATGACACACACTAAAAAGTCGATATTTATCATTGCTCAGGGTTTTATTAGCTTAACTTTTATTTGTTTCCACCATTTTATTTCCGTTTATTTCAGCAAGCAATATTCATACCTTGTCTATTATGATATCCCCTAGAAAAGGTCCCTGTGTAAAGTTAATTCCTCTGCGTGGTACTTTCTTGTCTTCTTCCAAACAATCCTAAAATTTTGTTTCACGACTTCTTTGTTAATCATTAATCATTAATCATTAACTGCCTTCGGCTATGGCTTCACTAGCTTACATCAAAAGACACAAAGGGTATGTGCGTCTGGGGAAATTCCATTATAATAGGATTGGAATTGCAACATTAGCTAAACCTTAAAAATTTCCAAAACTGACCTTTGTGATATTTTGTCCAGTCAGTGGTGCTGCCCTTAGCTAGAATAGCCACTAAAAATCCCTTCCCCAGCCGAGAGAACCAGAAACTCCAGTCTTCAATTCCAGATAAATGAAACTCTATACCAAACGAAAAATACGACCCTTTTCATCAGACTAAAAGCCCCATATATGCATATGTGTACCTGTTAAGACTGTCCCACCTCTTCCGCCCACATTTTCCTGGTTTCAAATAATTTAAATTCTAAGGTATGATGGCGGTTTCAAAAGAGAATTCTGTCTTTTAGCTTGCGTCCATCGGCTTTTAATTTTGAGACATAATCTCAAACATAATGTCATGTTATCGACAACGTGGTCAACTGTTTTCATTCAAAATCTCGCTTTATACCAGTGACCTATAGATGAGCATTGGTAATCTAATGGAGCTATCTGGAGAAAGCAGACTGCGAGCAAATGTAGCAAAACAAAGCAATGTTGTTCAATAAATTGCTTTCGGTCATACTATGGTTCTCATGTCAAAGACAAACTTTCTTTTTTTCAAATTAGCAACGTTAACTTTTACGGCCACGAAGAGCTTTATCTTTTAATAATTCAGTTTTAACATGCTGTCTTTTTCAAAGAATAAATAAATATACCCAGTTTAAGGGCCACCGGTGGGTTATTTGTTTCGAACGAGAGCTTTTTGTTTTGCATCTGCTGGTTTTAATTTTGAAACCTAATACCATTATTGCCATTGGTACCTGTTTTTTTGTTTGTTTAATACCTGCATGCTTTAGATGATAATACTCGGCTAGAGGCATTAAGAGTTTTTAGGGGGTATTCGGAGATAAGCAGACTCTGCCGGATCGATAAAGCAAAAAAAAGACCGTGCTATCCAGTACGAAAATGAAGGAGGCCTCCTGTCTAGCTTTGTTTTCTATCACATATCACGAAGAACGAGCTGTAAATTGTCTTAAAAAGGATTTTTTTTTTCATTGGCGGAGGGGAATTGAAAGCGCAGAGCAAATTGAAAATATAATCTACTACACATTAAAGGGCCTCAGAAATTTATACGTTCTAATCGTCCTAGAAATGTTTGTGGATCGTTGTCAGAGAAATTTCTCTGGACCGTTGTTCCAGAAATCTCTGTGGATCCTTGTCTGAGAAATTTCTGCCGATGATTCGTTGTCTCAGAAATTTCTGCGGGTGACTCGTTGTCTCAGAAATTTCTGCGGGTGAGTCGTTGTCAAAGAAATTTCTGTGGCTCATACAAACTGTATTTTCTGAGTTGCGTTTTTGTTAATGTTCTCCAGACTTCTGAGACCACAGTAATAAATACCTATAGGCAAGAAACAAATAATTTTTGAAATATTTTGCCTTAAGAACTACAGTCAGACATGGAAAGGATTCCAAGAAACTGACTCAAATTTACCAGATGAGAAAATTGTCTTTTTGTCAAGGTTTAACTGCTTCTTTGCTGCATTTAGCTGAAGACTCTCAAGAGACGTATTTATGGAAGAAATTTAGAAAATAGACTGAATTCTTGATGCAACAATTTGTTGCTTTTTTAGGAAAAAATCAGCTTTTTGGGGTGCATCTTTTCTAAGCACGCAAACATTTGTCAAATAGTCAAATCTTTCCAATTTTGCTCATAAAAATTGGAACAAAATGAGCAAATAATTGCATATTTTTCCAAAATCAACATTTTAGAATGTCCGACCTTATTTTAGAACGTGTTTAATTACTTCCTGCCCTCTCGAACTGGAAACACACCGGAAATCCGTGTCTTATTTACGTCGATCGCAGCAACTGAATGCAATATGCAATAGCAGTCAAGAAGAGAATCGACGGTAAAGTTGAGAAGTTTCCACGATAACCGCAAGTCTTGACAAAGAAAGTTTGCATGCCTTTGGGCACGTTTTCGTGGCTAGTTTTGCCGAGAAAGAAATACTAATTTCACAGTTAAGTTAAAAACACATAATTTTAGTGTATTTATTAGCAGATTTTCAACACAAAAAAATTATATCGATCCTTTTCAAGCCTGAGGTTTATTCTTACCATGTTCGATTTCGCAATTTTCAGCCTCGCTATTCGTATAAATATATATTCTTACAGAAAAAAAGAAAAGACTAGTGTACCGTGATAAGACATTCGAGTTTAGTAATTAAGGAAAGGGCGAATAAATGGCATGAAACGTTCTCTTTGTCGTTATACCATTGTCAAAACGTCCCTGGAAAATCTGGCCGAAAGGAAAATAGAACACGGTTTTTCTTGTCGTTCTAGTGGAAAATTTCCGGGAGCAACGGAACATCTGAAAAGGAAGTCCTGTATTTCCGGACGGAATGTTTTAAACGGAAATTCGTTTACCATTTGCTAAAACCCATATATGATACTAGTTTCAAGCTTCCCCAGGCGTTTTTCGGTAAAAGGAACTGATTTATGCAAGTGTTATTAACGATTTTGGAATGAAGTTTAACAGTCCTGAATTTTTCTTACCATTTTCTCACCATTTGCCCAAACTGTGAACCGACTGGTTTGCCCATGTAAATCGTAAAAAAAAACAAACAAACAAACAAACAAAAAAAAACATGTTCCTCGTTTCTCTTGTTAATGAGATAACTCTAACTGGCCCAGCTCAGCTTAAGAAGAGCCTTTCAGGGATCAACTGCCGAAAGATGATTTTACACGGGACGATGCGCAACGACTATTTTTAGCGCAACACAGGGCTGTTGGAACAATGTTGTAACCTTTCGAAACAATGTCGCAACAATGTTGCAACGCTTTGTTGCGCTAAAGGTCGTTGTTGCGAATCGTCTCGTGTAACATCATCTTCAAACGTACAATTTCTTCAAACTTTAAGGTTTTGCTTCCGTAGTGAAGATTTACGTAATTGGCCCCTTGAAAGTTATTCCGATCCTGACAAGTATTTGTCTTTCAGTATTGGTGGAAAGGAAAAATGGCATTTTTTTACTGGTTTGTGAAAACTTTGGCCTTGAACACTTTTTTTTCTTTGCAGATTGCGTGGAATCGGTGAAGTTTTTCAAGTCCGTAGAAGACTGAAGCTCAAAAAAAATGGTTTTCGCTTTTATGTTTGTTCCCTTTTTTGTATTTCTTCATAATTTAAGCTTATAAGTAGACTTCTGCCATACTGCAATCAAGGGGAGAATACTTTCGAGTTCTGCCTCTACCGAATGGACTAAGTATGGTGAACAATCATGTGACTCGACGAACACTGTCGAAATGACGATGAACGATCACGTGGTAATAGAGGAGCTCCACGCGCGGCGAGCCCCATAGCTAAGGAAATGTGGTAATCTACCCATCCGACAAAATTTGGTAATCACGAGACCGTACACTGACCGACCGACCGCCCACCCGACCGTCCGTCCGCACCACAGGAATACCAATGCAAAAATAACTCAATCAACAGGTATGGCAACCCAAATGCAACTCAAGGTTTTATTTGGAAGGAAATTACATGGCCGCCCGGACTTTTAGAAAGAAAAAACAACAACAAAGTCGTGTATTTCTCGGCGTTATTTTGTATGTTTACACTAACGTGGATAACAAAGAAAGAGCCACAGCGAGTTATTGAAAACAAAGGAGACGAATCTCGTAGGAAGAAAAACACGGAAATTCAAAGCGGTGGTGAGAAAATGAGAAATGCTAGCAGCCAGCAAGGTGAGGATGAGCGGCAGTGAAAAATAAAAGCGAACATGAACACAGGAAACAAGATATTGGGTAAGCACATATGACAATTCCTCCATAAAATTAACGTATAACTAGGAAGTTTGACGTTTTAGTCGTACAAAACAGCGTTGTAGCCGTGCAAAACAACGGCAAGGGAAAGACAAAAAAGCGTGCTGCACTTGCAAATTTTTTTTTTTGCTAATTAGAAGAAAAAGTGTGCTGCACGTGCAATCCGTTTTTTTTTTGTTTTTGCTAATTAAATCTATTAGTCTTGAAGCGATTTTCATTGTCGTCCCCGTTTAGCATTACACGATTGAATTTTTTTTCTTACACGTATTATTAACCAGAGCTTTGCTTTTAGCCCTGGCTAAATCTATTTAGTAGATACTAAAACAGTGGATAATGTTTTTCGCCCGCTCTGATTGGCTACTCAATCAGTGAATATCCTGCACTATTCACTGATTCACCTCCAGTTCCTCCGAGCGAGCGACGCCAAACTCGTCTAGAGTTGCGAGCAAAATGCCTTCCAGGTTTGCTGCTGTAACAAACAAAAAAAAAAAATCGCAACTAATCAAGCAAGCAAGCTGTTCCCGAAATACACGAAGAAGGTGACGAAGTTCGGTTTGAAAGTTTTAACAGGTAAAGCTTTGTCTTTTTGACTCGAATTTATCGATAAAACCGGTGAAAAAGTTTTTTGTTTACAAATGCAAATCTTGCAGTCTTGCGTTACTTAGTTGACTTGTTCATGAATAAGCTTAAAACTGAACTTAACAATCTTTTTTTTAGAGAATGATTTTAAATACAAAAAGACTTCTCAACTCCTTTTGAAGACATATCCCCGCCAGAGCTAAACAAATGCCTTCAAAAGTTTTATCTGTCGGCAAGAAAAAGCGACGGCCACGGCCGTTCGGTCATTACGCGCCAAAAACTGTAATCGTTGGCAACTGTACTTGAGTCAAAAATCATCATTTTTGTACTCAATTATCAGTTATATACTAAAACAATTATTCACCTCAGTGTCGGTGGCCAGTGGTAGAAATTCACCTCGCTGCTTCGCAGCTCGGTAAATGATAACGACTAGCCACCTCCACTTTGGTGAATAATTGTTATATATTATGAACGTCTTATTTTAACTCTAACCAACTGTTCAAAGGAAATTTTGAGAAGAGTTGAGAAGAGAGAAGAGTTGTGAATTATGGAATACTATTGAAAAAACTCTTTTTAATTACTTTTAAAGAGTAACCTAGAATTTAAATTTCATAAATGCCGAGGTAAAGTATTGTAAACTAGAGCCTCTTGAAAGACAAAACTTGTCCGTCCAAATTCTAAGTTACCTTTGGGGAGTTTTAGTGGACCAAATTGTTTCTAGTGTTAATGTTGAGTTCAATTTTTGTAAAATATCCTTTAAAAGGGGTACAGACGTTATCTTTAAGACAATCAAACACAATCTGGCAGGACTGTCTCTTTATTAGACTCTCCACTGTCCATGACTTTCTGACTTGGACGTTCAATGCTTTTAATTCGACTTTTACGGGAACGTGACCAATAGAGACCCAAAGTTCCACAATACGTAAAAACAGGTTGAATCATTGATTTATAGATTTTCTCAGCACTCAGTTCGAGAAATGCCCGTTTGATTTTCATTCTCTATTTTTTATTGCAGGTGTGATGGATATGTGAGTCAGTTCTTCGTAGCATAGAAAAACAGATACAAAGAGCAAATTCACACAAAGAAAAAAAGCAGAAACAGAAGAGTCAACTCGAAGTAGAGGTAACTACTATGTCCTTTTATGTTGTTTTGTACACCCTGGGTGCTAGGTTTTTATGTGCGGTTCCTGGTCTCGGTCAAGTCTTTTATAGTGCCCCGCACGAAAAGCGAAAAGTTTTTTCTAGTAGCTTCAGACTTCGGCCGAAGATCTGTCACCCTCCGACCACATTAAAGAAATCCCGTCGTACGAGACAAGAAACCTCTGGTATCCAGGGTAAAAAAAATGTAACAAAATTTCTGATAAAGAGGCTCTTCTTAGCCACAATTGACATTAGCAACTGGTTTGCTTCCTATCAGTCTATTTTTGCATCATTTTGTATTTGATTTGGATTTACAAGTTTTAGTGTTTCTTCTGCTCTTCCACCCTAATTACGTAATTCCTTTTTCCTTTTTTTTTTTTTTTTTTTTTTTTCTACTGCAAGGAGAAACCATAACAAAGAAAGCAACAAATTCCAAACAAGGTCACTTTGACCAGTCAAAAGTTGTATAAACAATTGGCCCAAGCTACGGTGGTTAGGATTCGTTGTTTGCTTCCTGTGCTGTGATAGGTTAATGGCGCTGCAATCTCTAGGCTCGACATGCCGTCTCGTTCCCTGAGCGCGCGCTCATTTCCCAAACAACTGGTACTCGAGCTTATGTAATCTCTTCAATGATTATTCCATTTTTTTTTCTTTGCTAAAGGCTGAAAATTTGAAAAAGGTGATCAAGGCATCTTCTCAGTCTGATTTGGAGAGTGGAACCGTGTCAGGAATGCCGGCCGCTTATCACAGTCAACAATATCAACAGAAAGTTCCAACTACAACTAAAACCAAAGGGTCAGTTTTATTACTCTGCTAACTGGGATATAAGAACGCATTCTTTTACTTACGGCCTCTTCATATAAGCGCGTCCTTGTTTGAAGGCGTTTACACATTTCCTTTTTATAAGAATGTTAAGAATGTTTTATAAGAAAGGGCGAATAGACCTTTCCCGTATTTCTCTCCAGTTAGCAAGCATGAAGAAATGAGGTCGAGGCTCGGGTGGACAATTTCATACAAATCACTGTATTTTGTCCTCCCGAGCCTCGACTTGATGCCTTTGTTTACAGGAATGCGGGAAAGGTCTATAGATGGCATGAGACACAGTCACTTTTGTGGTGGTCCTTATACCATTTTTCCTGGAAAATCTGGCCAAAAAGAAGATAGAACACGGGTTTTCTTGTCGTTCTAGGGGAAAATTTCCTGGAGCAACGGAACATCTGAAAAGGAAGTGCTTTTTTTTTTTTTCCGGACAGAATGTTTCAGACGGAAATTCGTTTACCATTTGCTAAAACCCATATTTGATACTAATTTCAGGCTCCCCAGCCGTTTTTTGGTAAAAGGATCTGAGATATGCAAATGATATTGACGATTCTGGGATAAAGTTTAACAGTCCTGATTTTTTCTTACCATTTGCTCAATCTGTGAACCGACCGCTTTGTCATGTAAATGGTAAAATCCCTTGTTTCCTCGTTTCTCTTGTTAATGAGATAACGCTAACCAGCCCAGCTTTTAAGAAGAGCCTTTCAGGGATCCGCTGCCCAAAGGTGATGTTACACGGGACGATTTTTAGGACAACAGAGCGCTGCAATGTTAGAACAATGTTGTAACCATTCGAAACGATGTCGCAACAATGTTACAACGCTGTGTTGCGCTAAAAGTCGTTGTTGCGAATCGCCTCGTTTAACATCACCTTGAAACATACAGTATCTTCCGTCGTACGTAATAAGCCACTTAAAAGTTATCCCTGACAAATATTTTTGTTTCAGTTTTGATGGAAAGGAAAAATGGCATTTTTTCCTGGTTGAGGAAAACTTTGTCCATGAACACTCGTGTTTTTTACTTTGCAGATTGCGCGGAAGCGGTAAAGTTTTTCAAGTCCGTAGATGACTGAAGCTCAAAAGGAATGGTTTTCTTTTTTTATGTTTGTTGACTTTTTGTATTTCTTCATAATTCAAGCTTATAAGCAGACTTCTGTCATATTGTAGGGGAGAATACGTTCGAGTTCTGCTGAAACTGAATGGACTGAGTAGGGTGAACAATCACGTGACTCAACGAACACTCTCGAAATGATGATGAGCGATCACGTGGCTATGTGAAAGTTTTATTTTAACTCTAACCTGCCGTTCAAATGAAATTTTGTACACGTTAGCGGACAAAGCAAAACGTGAATTGAAGCGTGCGGTCGGTGTCAATCGTGGGAAACGCACGTTAATTAGCCAATCGCGTTATTCAAGTGCGTTTGCCTTTAACTGGCTAAGAAAAACGTGGTTGCACGAAGGTTTCAAGGGACAATACACGACCAACAAGACCTCTTTCTGTAATTCACCATTTTCACAAAGACCATAATACATCTTGTTTACCCCCCAGAATTTGGCATAACCATTGTTTTCAATTTCTCCTGGGTATTTCAGTCGTCCTAAGAGAAATCGAAGACAATGGTTATGCAAAATGTTAGGGGGCAAACAAGGTGCATTATGGTCGATGTGAAAATAGTGAATAGCCCACGATCGATATATTGAAATTCTGAAATGACTCCGACGCTTTCTGGTCATTTTTCTACATTTCGTTTTGTTTTTTTGTGTGCACAGGTCTCTTCTGGGAATTTCGAGACAATGGAGTCCTAAAAAATTGGCAATTTTAACCCTAAAGCCTCGGAGTCTTTTGACAATTTTAATACATCGAACGTGGGCTTTTCGTTAAAAAGCTCATTAAAGCAGCGGGAAAAAGGCAGCTGTGACGGTTAAAAGTAGCTTTCGCCAGTTTTAATATGTCGAGTTGCAGCTACCGTTAGCGACCATGGGCCGGTTGCTCGAAGCCTGGTTAGCGCTAACCGTTGGTTAAGAGGTATCATAATGTATAGGTTTCCATGGTATTTAACGCTGGTTATCACTTACCGTGCTTCGAGCAACCCGGGCCATTTTGTCACGACTAACGGCGGCCTAACAGGCATGTTTCAGCTAAAGGTTAGTTCCGTCCTGTGTGTTCATATTTTGGGAGAAATCTATTAAAATTATTGTGATAGCTCTGGATTTTTCCCAAAAGCACGCTCTCTCATTGGCTCCTTGGAGACCACATGACATCTAACAAATATTATTGAGATTGTCCAAAAACTAACTTTAGTTCCCCTTGACTGTCCCCTAACAAAGAAAAGTTATTCCATTCATTTATCAGAACCCAGGCCTTCCTCGACCTTATGGACCTTCGCTGCTATTCATTCACGGGGGAAGGTGCTTCGTGGGAAATGGGGCGATATAGATTAACTGATTGTTGAAAGGCTGATTTTTCCCAACTGAGGGTTTAAAACAAAGTCTTGACGATCTCTTTTCCTAGTACTTGTTAACTTCTTTTTCTTGTTAATTGTTAAAGCCATAATTTACATTTGTGTTCATCGCCAATTCCGGTGCCCCTGGGTCTCTGAGGATGACGTCGTGTCGGAGCGATTGGCCGAGAGGGTTTTGTAAACTAAGCCCTAGTCCTCAATGCTAAATCTTTACTTCCGTCGTAGTGGATTCCAGTCCTTCTTCCTGCTTATTCACTTCCGCTAAGGTCCGAATAACTGTTCATACCGAACTAAAGTGTGGCACCGAAGCTTTGCTCCGTTACCGAAATCGCGCCGAAATCACCGTTCTTATGTGTGGTGAAGAGCCCTATCCGGTATGATTTTCGTGCCCACGCAAAAGCTGTCCGGTAAAGTATGAACATAGCCTTCGTTTTGAGGCTTTCATTCATCTTAGGCTGGTTTATTATCTACTTTGATCTAAAATAACGTTATTGGTGGTGATCCTAGGCATTCTGAACCAGAGTTCTTTTTTGTTGATTCCCTTTCGTTCTTCTTTCTTAATGTTTACTCTTCTTAGTTAGTTGAGCAAAGAGAGACGATCTGCGTTACACCTTTTATTTAGTTCAACGAGCTGTATAAATAACATTGAGATTTACAAGAAAAGAGCAAGATGACATTTTTGTAGTATCATTTCTGTTTGTAAATAAAAGTTTATGTCTCATGGCGTGTAGGTAGAACTTTGGTCGGCTTCATTTTTTAGTAATAAATAAGTTCCCAATGCCCCTTCCCGTGATAAATTTTACCCTGTGCCAGGGCCGGGAGAAACCCAATTCAGCCAACCTGAATAAGTTCGCCGCATTTGGCGTTTGATCCATGCAAGTTACAACACTGTGCAGTATTGCTCCTTGTTGTGCTGTTTTGTAGTATCAATTCAATTTGGAAATAATTATAATCCCCCATGGCGTGATGGCGTGTAGGTAGAAATTTGGCCGGCTGGGCCATTAAGATTTCGAAGGAGGGGGAGGGGGAGGGGGGGTACCTTTTCTGCTGAGAGGCTCTGCCCCGGGGTCCAATCCCTTACCCTTTCATATACTCTTCTTGACTGTAAAGGTACCCCTTTCGTATACCTTTTATTGACAAATGATACACCTTTTCACATGCCTATCAGTTTTTAGAAGTTTGTATGCCTTATAACTGCTGTAAATGTACTATATTTTTTAATATGAATAAATCACAAAACCAGAACGTTTCTCGAATTTTCACAGCCATAAAATGCATGTGTTTGTCCTTTTGGGCCTTAACAGACCGGAAAGACAATTTCCCTATACCCTTTCATAAACTTCAGCTGGTGAAATCCCTACCCTTTTATGTACCTGATGCCTGAAAAAGGTACCTTAGCTTTTTAGGCGGAGCATACAACCCCCCCCCTCCTCCCACGTATAGGTTATTATAGGGAGTACACCCCCCGGGATTAAGACCTACAAAGTGTAAACTAACTCCCAGATTTTCTTTTCAGTCTTGTTCAGTTCCACCTTGCTTGTAATAAACGCCGCACTTTGATCAAAGCTCCGTGTCGTCAAGCACATCAACCTTAAAACTCAAACCGTTTATCGTGTATTCCTTAGATGTATGAAGTTGTTGATGCAGCAGTATTTCCATCAATATATCCTCAACCGATAGCTCATCGCAAAACTCAACTTTGAAAACCGGGATTTCTTGTAACTTTTTAGGCCCCTTGTCATCTGCTTCCTCGTCGCTTCCATTATGGGGTGCAGGATCTGTGGAAATTGCTTTGCTCCCAGGCTCAAAGTTTTCTTGTAAACTTCTTAATATTTGCTCCAACTCGTGGAATGAATCTTGACTGTGCAGCATTAGCTTGCAAATTAAGTTGACTCAACAAAGAGAGAAAATGTTTTCGGAGAAGTCTTTTGTTGTTGTAGAAGCCCTCGATTTCTTTAAACAAGCTACCTTGGCGTCCCCTCAAGCGGCAAGAACAACATGTACAACTCAAAAGTTTACATCGTTAGCTCTTATCGAAGGGATTACAAATGAATTTAAATTAGCATGAAACTAAAATTGAAGACATGGTAACGTCATTTGCAATCAAAGAGGTGTAATCTCAAACAAAAGAAATTTATATAGAACAAAGCCTCCTGTTGACAAACTTTGCATATCAATAACCGACGGATTGGTACCTGTGTAATTGCACCATTGTTTTTAGTATAACCACCTATCGAGAAGCAGGCCATTTTCGAGTAACCTTTAGTCTTTCGTCAAAGTTAGTACTGGAGGTTATCCGTATCCTTTCTAATTAAGAAAAGGACTTTCATATGAACTGTTCTTCATCACGGGCTACGTTTTGAGAGAGAAATTCCCGGGGCTAATACTGACTCGATGGGCTGTTTGCTTGCTACCTTATTGGATAAAACGTAACACGTGATAAAATCGTTTGATTTGGTCTCCCTTCTTCGTCTTCATTTCAAGATTTAAATATAGCGAAAGAAGGAAGGGTTTGCATTTCCCTGCAAATATATCTC